AACATATCGCTGTGTACATGGATTCTTGTCAAATATTTTTGGTTAGAAACTTCACATTTTTGCTATCTAAATTTTTTGGTTTTGTTTTGGATTTTTAGCTTAAATTGTGTTTTCAAAACGTGGTTTTCACATAGGCGAAAACCGCATTTTTTGGATACATTTTAGGCTTAAAATTCGAAATGTAGACAAAAAATTTAGGCAGTAATATGGTGGCGTGGAGTTTCTAGCCAAACATTTTTGGCGAGAAATTTGGCAACCTGAGGGTGCATATAAGAGTAGTTCCTTTGCTCTTTATAGTTTACTGATTGACTACTCTTGTGCAAAACTTGAATGCCACATTGAAAATTGTTGTTGGCTTTTACATATTAGCTTGATGAAAAATTAGTTACCAACGAGTTCTTGAATGCAACCACCTTGATACAATTTTATTTTTTAAAAATGAACAGTTAAGTTATTTGTGCAAAATGGCAATTTTCACGACCTTCTGTAAAAAAAGATTGCTGAACTATCGATATTTATTGTAAAACATACTTTAGTAATTTACAATACAAACTTTAATTATTAAATAGGGATGATACGTTAATTAAAAAAAATAACACACATTTCTCACAAAATCCATCTGTACCTTTGTAACATTTTCCCACGTATGCATTGATCTGTTTGTTTAAAAATATCAGAGAGTTGCACAAACACAGCAGTGCACACCAGCTGTCTACCAAACACATCATTATCGTTCCCTCTAGTGATTTTTATTACTATTTTATACTATATTCTACTATATTTCTAATACTATATTCTATATTCTTGCACAAATACTATACTATATTCCTGCACAAATGTTATTGAAGTTTCTTTCACTGCTGGCAAATTCCATAAAAACACATTTTAGAACATTTAAAGTAAAAAATATCATGGTTTGTCTATCAAAACCTTTTGTAACTTAAAATATAACAAAAAGAGTGCATATGAAAATGGAGATCTGAAAATGGAGATAACTTTGGGATTGTTATGAGCATGGTTGCTAGAGTTTGCCACACTTTGAAAATTTGGCAACTTTTAGAGGTGATATCATTATTATACAGCTAAAAAAATTAATAAGGACTGTATGTACAAAAGCTAGAAACATAGTATGTTATGCCACTAATTGTAAAAATTCAGTAGTCAACAGATGCAGGCTGAAGCTCAAGTGATTTAACTTGAAAAGTTGAAAATTAAAACAAAGAAGTCTCAGATTTTTTTCTTTAAGAAACAGTATGTTAATAATTTTAAATAAATTTCAGATTTGAATGGAACTGGAAACAAGTGATTTAACTTGAAAAGTTGAAAATTAAAACAAAGAAGTCTCAGATTTTTTTCTTTAAGAAACAGTATGTTAATAATTTTAAATAAATTTCAGATTTGAATGGAACTGGAAATTTACTTTCATTCTTTCTTTTACTGTTACATAAGAAATATAAATTATAACCATGGAATTATTTTTAAAGCAAAAAAAAGTCCCACACTTTGCTTGTTTACGATTCAAAGAACAAACATTAATCAAATGAAAGATCAGAGGCTATTTAAAATATCTTACTCGTATACTTGACTTTTATAAACTACGAAAAATATATATTTTTAAACTAGCTTTGAGCAATTTTCCAGTTCATATTTAAAACTGAAAGTAAGATTTATATATACAGAGACAAGATATTATATCATGCACTAAAGTATCTTCTTTTTAAGATTTAAGAAGACATCACATGTCTTGCTATTTTATCATAATTTTTTTAAAATAATTTTAATGTATAAATTACACCTTTAAAGTAATTCATATATTAAAATTTACTACTATTTTTCTTAAATTAGGCAAAACAGCTACCTTACTTTAGCATACATTTTGAATAAACTATTAGTTTTGAAGGTTATCAGACACAGGCCCCTAATTTTAATATCTAAATTTTGCAGTCTTCACATAATAATATTTTTAGCCTTGCTAAAATTAACACTGTTTCATTCTTTAACACTAATAAACTTGGAATAATCAAGGCATTATGTGATAGAACAAAACTTTATTCTTTAAGAACAGTGTATGATTTCCATGAACCGAATAAAAATACCATTTCAAGAATATTTAACTTAAAAAGTTAATGACAAAAAAAATTTTGGCTAATCTTTGGAATATGGTAACAGGTAGTTTGGCGACATTTTGATAAGGCGATAAAGGTTACTATGATTTCCATGAACCGAATAAAAATACCATTTCAAGAATATTTAACTTAAAAAGTTAATGACAAAAAAAATTTTGGCTAATCTTTGGAATATGGTAACAGGTAGTTTGGCAACATTTTGATAAGGCGATAAAGGTTACTAGCTAGGACTTAAGCAGTGTACATGGATAAAGTCAAGAGTGTGCGCAATGCCATTTTTGTGCAATTCTGGGATTTTTTTTAAGTGAAAATAGGTCGACCTGTACATGGATACCGTGTATGTGGAATTCTTAAAAATTTGCGGCAAGAAATTTGCGATTCTGCACTTTCTCCCAATTTCGCACCTAATCTTCGTCATGATTAAGCACGTTTGTTCCATAAAAATTCTAGCATAAGCGCAATTCGGCTAGCAGATTGTTGAAAAAAAATGTTGAGTTAAAAAAAAAAAAAAAAAAAAAAAACCTTTACTTCGTGAAAACAAAATGGAGTCCAAACAAAAATTAGCAGGTTACTGTAGCAGGGTTGGTCGCCAAATTTTTGCCAAAAAATCGCCAAGTTACCATAATCCAAAGATTAGCCAAAATTTTAATTTAAAACTGAAAAACAAATGCGTCAATTAGGCTGAATGATCACAATATTTTTCAAAGCATATATTCTGAATATGACAACAACAAAAAAATAAGAAGAAAGAGGGAAAAAAAAGTTCTTGACAAATTTAAATGAAATCCAAACAGTGCTGAGAAAAATTCAGAAAGCATAAATACTCAGCAATAGCAGAGGAAAAATATATTTTACGGTAACAAACTTCTTGTTCCTGCACAAGACCAAATATGTCTTACATAAAATGCATTGCTCTTTTCTTATTCTACAGGCACTTAACAAGACATCATAATTTCATTAATTAATAACATTGAATTGCATTACTTGTATTTGATAGACATTTTTAGAGAAATTACATTTAAAAAGCTTTATATATATGTGTGTGTGTGTGTGATGCACCAACTTTTGTCAGGAATAAATAGATTGTTGAAGAATAATAAATGTAGTCGTAGCTTAAATTATCAGACGATAAGTTTTAAAAAAACAGGATCCATTTATTATATTTCAGGAGAAAATAGCAATTACAAAATCAGATATCCGGAGTAAATAAAAAAGAATTACTAATAACTTTTTGTATGAAGTTTACTGCATCGTGACATTAAGAAAAGACCCGATATTCTTTTGCGAGTCCTTTTATAGCCTCTGGAAAGGCGGATCTTCCAAGAAATGACGTCAGCCTCGTCAGCCAATCCAGTTCGCTTTAAATATTTCCAGAACATTCTATAACTGTACGTGGCGGGAAAAACAACTTGACTACGGGGCTGCGGATTTAATTCCAAGTACTTTCAAACAAGAGAACATCGCCATTAAAAATGAAAAGAAGATACAGTTAGAATTTTAAGTGTATTCTTGATTATGGAATTTTATTATTACACATATATATATATAAATATATATATTCAGTGGTTAACACAGAACAGGGAAGGAATATTACATTTCAAGTCTTAGGTTGCAAATTATAAATTCATTAAAATTATTTGAATCCATGTAATAGCAAACTAATTTTGCAACTTAAATTAATTACTCTTGCTAAAATCCCAATTTACTGAACAAGAATATTGGTTCTTCCTATTATTATTTCTCCCATTGTTTAAACAACAAAAGGAGGATCTTGTTAATGGATAGTGCTAATCCCACTCAGACTCTTTTACTGAAGGATGGGTTCTTAAGTGACTGTAGTGAGGACTGTCAACCTTGGCAACTATTTGAGAAGAGGTCTCAGTAAATACTCTTACTACAAATTCAAAATTGCTGGTAAAACCATATTAGTCTATGAAGCATAGTAATATTGTATGTGTGAAAAAAAGCAAACTCCTCAAAAATTTTGAAAAAATAAATGGGTTTTCATCTGAGCAATAATTGAAATATATAGCAAGATAATTTTAAAATGGAAGCTAACTGTGACTAGATATATATATATATATTTAGTCACAGTTAGCTTCCGTTAGCAAAAAAAAAAAAAAAAAAAAAAAAAAAAGACAGTGTACACACACACACACAAAAAAAAAGTACTTTTAAAGAAATTCCATTAACATTCTTCTGAAAAGAACAAGGATTACAAGCCACAAAGAAGAAAGATCGTAAATAAAATGTTGTATAACGACCAACTTAAGGTTCTCAAGAAGCGGAAAATAAATAAATAAATTTATGTTACAGCCGGCTTAAGACGTTAAAATTATTTTCTTTCTTTAGAGATGATCAGATTCTGAATCCCGCTATTAAGTAAGAAACAGAGAAACAGTAAGATCGGATGGCACTGAAGATGCAGTATGATATAAATAATGGACGTGCTTTTAAATGTGTTATTATTAATTATATACATAACATATAGGATAGGTATTTCTCAAGCGATTATAATGCTTAAAGCCAATACTGGCCAGACATAAATTTAATGAATCACAGAACGATAACAACACAGAGTACCATAATATTAATAAACAAATACTCTACCAGTGATTAAAGTAATTATTCATGAAAAGATGCAAAATTTAAAAAAGAAATGACGCTAACAAGCTGTGTTGGTAAATACTGAACATTCAAACTCTAAAGATTATATATTCTACTGAATTTATTATGAATTTACGATGTTTGCACATGCACTTTTGCTATTCGAATTATTTCATTATCTCTTTAAAAATGAGTTGACAAGTGTACCCAAGGTTAATGGCATCACATTTATAGCGGCCCGTGTATCTTCAGCTTTAATGTACGTACCATTTTTAGTGTCTTCTAACATTTGCTGAAGGTAAGGAATAGTAACATTAACTCCACAATCATCTCCAAATTTTGCGATAAAGGAACATATGACAGCAAAATTTGGATTCCCATCACAACTCTCTTCGCTGGCCGCCATCTTCTGTGGCACAGCGAAACGTAAATAACCACAATTTTTAACCGTAGCCACCACAGATTAGAATTTAAAATACATGCACAAAACACTGTTCTGCTCAGGCGCAACTTCTTTTTGAAACTTTTGTAAATACACAGAATTTAAGTTAATAATGTAAAATAACTTCACTTATTTCCAGATCCAAACAAAAATAAAAAAAGGTAAAATTATAATTTTATTATTAAACTTTGCAAAAGAAATTTAAAAATTTAAAAGCTAAAAGTATTTTACACTATTTTAATTTTAAGTTAATGCATTTTTAAAACCGTATTTTTATGTGAGATGATTACGCAATAAGAAAGTTTCCTCGGTGTAAACAAAAGTTAATTAATTAAAAGATTATAAATTATGTTTAATGTCTGTACAAACTTCGAATTACGTACGGGTTTTTGTTTAAGAGTACTAATATTTCTACAGTTTCGTTAATACTTTGGAAAAATAACTATTTCAGTAAAATTTCTTCTAAAATAAACTTACCACTTTGTTATTATTATTATTATATGTGTGTGTGTGTGTGTGTGTATGAGTGAAACTGCATATGATATGCGAAGTGATATCAGATTAAAGGAAAAAAAAAAAAAAAAAGGAAAAGAAAGAGTCGGAAAGATATTTAAAGATAAAGCTTATGAATTAATCTAGAAGGTGGCAGTCCTATGTCTCTAATCCTTGTCTTAAAACATATTATATCATGTAATGAATTACAATATGAAATGACAGTTTTAACTTAGCCGGAACCCCAGTAAGATGAGTTCCAGTATTTTAATTTAGTATTTATTTGCCATAATTTTAACTTTATTTATTTTCATTACATTTAATTGAATTTTAATTATTAATTACGTTGTTTATTTATTTTTGTTTATTCCTAAAACCTCGGTAATTTGACACTTCAAGGAATGCTGAAAAAGCATCGAATTAATGGATTTCTGTTGATACATAATAGAAAACCAGAAAAAATGAAGCATAAGTATTACTTTCTTTCAGAATCCTTAATACTTACCAGGATCGTCCCTAGAGCCGGTGCAAACCATACAACTCCCCCCGGGCGGGCATTATTTAGGGGCGGCAAAATATTTACAATTTACGAAGCAACCGAGCGGCAGAACTTCGGAGTGGGAAAGTTTGTATCGAGGAGCAAAAATTCTAGCGCTGGTTCTGTACTTTATAGCGGCAATACAAAAGCATAACTAGTAGTAACAGTTCCCAAAATAAACTTATTTAATGTTTAAAAAAAGCATCATAATTTTATGTATACTGAAAAAAATAATTATTTTTCCCCAAAACAGAAATTTAACTATTCCCATGATCATCATGTGGCGACTCAGCGCCTTCAGATCCAAGCAGGTTAGAATAGAGACTTTTCTATTCTATCTTCTGTTTAACCTCTTCGGACAAAAGTGCTGACACTGAAATATGTTAAAAATTATATTATTTAAATCTACTTCGTTTATTAATTAGTGTTTCGTGCATCCGTCGAATTAGTAGACTGTAAGTTAGTTTTGCAACAAAAACTTTAATAAACAGAATTATTACAGAAATTACAGTTACATTGCTTCGTACCGAGAAGAGAAGTATCGTTTCTTAATGATTACGTAGGTCGATAGTAAAACTCGCTTCATCGTTGCCTAGACGAACTCCACTCGCGCCAGAGCGCGTTGTCACAAAAGTTCAAAAAAAAAGAAAGAAATATTTCAAACTCGTAAAACTCCCCGCCGATTGGATTCTTAATCCAATATTTCTATCATTTATAAAACAATACAATATAAAATTGAATGAAAGTTGTACAGCAATAATTACACTCAAAGTACAATAGTAATATTAAATATAGAATTGAAACTTAAATACAATAATTAATACACAGGTAACATACAAATATATCGTACAGATCTTTTAAGTATATTTCCTTGAGGCAAGCATATGGTCACAACTCTTACTTTCGCACCACTTCCAGTGATTATTTCTTCTACTCTTTCTGTTAACCACTTGGTGCATGGTAGGTTTTCTTCCTTTACCAGCACCAAGGTCCTAACTTTTACATTATTCTTAATAAACTGCCACTTATGGCGTTGCTGCAAATTATTTAAGTAATTTCTTTTCCAAAGTTTCCAGATTCTTTGAGAGCATCTGGAAAACTTTTCCCACTTGCTAAGCGCCTGTTTTCATTGATCCCTGTAAGTGGGAGTTCTGCGATGGAAGTGATGGGTCTCCCAATAAGGAAATGCCCTTGGGGTTAGTGTTTGAAAGTTATCAAAATAATCTGATAATGGAGTCAATGATCTGGAGTTTAGAACTCATTCAGTTTCCTCTAATACTGTAATTAATTCTTCCAGAGTAAAATTTAAATTTCGGGCTACGCGTTTTAAATGATACCTAAAGGATTTTATGCCGGCTTCGTACAATCCTCCAAAATTAGAAGATCCTGGAGGGTTAAAATGCCAATCAATTGCTTCCTCCGTGAAATAATGAACCAATTGTTCATCTGGAGAATTTACGATTTTCTAAGTTCGTCGTTTTAGTTCGGCATCTGCGCCAACGAAATTTCGTCCATTGTCAGTCAAAATCTTAGAAGCCTTGCCTCGCCTAGAGAAAAATCTTTTCAAACTAGCAATGAAACCTGTTAATGTTAAATCACTCACAAAGTCTAGATATATTGCTTTAGTACAAAAACATACATAAATTGCTACATATATCTTATTCAATACCCTTTTCATCTGCTCTTTGAATTTCACGTAAAAGGGTCAGCAAAATTCTATGCGGGTAACCGTAAATGGAGAAGGTTTTATGCGTTCCTTAGGCAGTTGGCCCATCAACTGTTGCTCCACAACTGGTTTGTTCTTTGTGCACGTGACACAATTGTGTATCACCAATCTGCACAATTTCCTATTGTTTAACGGCCAATACCTTTGACGTATTAGGTACAGCAAAGTCTGGGATCCTGCATGCAAATATTTCTAATGAAAATACTCTACAACCATGTAAGTTAAGGGACGTTGAGATGTGAGGACAATAGGGTGTTTAATATTATCGTTAATACTAGAATTGATTATTCGTCCTCCAACGCAAATAAACCCATTTTTTTTATCAAGAAGACAATTAAGAGAAGCTAATTCACTTCCTTTTATGTTCTCACCTTTCATTAAGGAAGAAATTTTTTCCGAATACCCACTTTGGGCAACTTTTAAAAGAGCAAATTCTGAATTGTTCAACTCGGATGCCCACCTTTTTTGTCTTTTGAATTTCTACAGTTATAAATAAATCTGAAAACATAAGAAACTATACGAATAAGTTTAGAAAAATTATTAGTAATTTTAAGTAGATCATTATTAAACAAAACATTCTGATTAACAGGGGCGTAGCTAGAGTTTCCAGCGCCCGGAGACAACTGAAGAATTTGCGCCCGTTTCCGTTTGCCAAGAATGAAAAACAATTCCTTAAAAAATTTCGTAGCATCAATTTGGCGCCCCTTGGATGCTGCGCCCGGGGACAGATGTCCTCCTTGCCCCATCCTAATTACGCCACTGCTAATTAGTTGCAGCAAAACATACAGGTATATCTCCTTCTACACAGGAGAACCTTTTTTTCATTTCTGAAATATAATATTCTTCTGGAATAGAATTATTACCCTGAAATACTGAGACTTCATTTGTTCTTAAGAATACAGGACCTGAACACCAGGTCTCATTTTTTAAAAGACCTTCTACACTAACTCCTCTTGTTACAAGGTTAGCTATATTCAGTTTACCAGGTATGTGCAACCAAACTTCAGGATTGCTAAGAGCCTGAATCTCTTTTACACGTTTGGAAACAAACTGTTTCCACTTATGGTGAGGTCCTTTAGTCCACAACAATATGATCTGGGTGGTGGTGTATTTAATTATGGCAAAGCACACTAGGGCTATCTGCCTAAGGGGAGGGATGCCTTCGTGGAGGACTTTCTGAGAGAAACTGGCTCGTATACACGTTACACATGGGGAAAACCACGAAAACACCCATGCAGTAAGCTCGTTCGCGGGATTCGAACCTCGGACCGAACTACCAGTGTTCAGCGAGTTTACCGCTCGGCCGCTGGTGGGCTCAATGTGATCTGGGAGTCTGTCCAAAAATGAAATTGTATGTTTCAATTTTCGTTTTACAATTTGTTCTAATTTTTCGCAAGTCTGGCTGCGAGCAATCCCCCATGAGTTCAAGTTTTGGTACAGTTTCTTTAATGGGGCAACACGACTCTTCGAAGCAATTAAGTTTACTGATATTTTGTCAACATTTTTAACTCTTAAGTATACTGCAGTTCCGTATGCTCCTTGGCTGGCATCGGAAAAGACGCAGATTTGAAGTTCGTTGGCATCACCTAGGCTACCGTCGAGGATCATCCTAGGGACTTGTAAGTTCGTAATATCAGATAACTCAAGCTTCCATTGAGTATACTTTTGAAGGAGGTCTGCTGGAAGTTCTGCATCCCATGAACACTTCCTAAGCCACAGTTCTTGGAATTGACATTTGAGTGACATAGGCGTTAGAAGACCAAGCCCATCGTACAATTTTCCTGTTGTTTTTAACACAGTTCTTTTTGTAACACTTTCTCCTTTATTAAACTCGAGTAAATCTTTCACATGAATAGTGATGTAGTCTTGATGTACGTGCCACGGAAGACCGAGAACCTTTTGTAGTTTTTCCGTAGGATTAGCCTTTGAATGAATGGGATGGATCTTGAACCCCTTGTCTTCCCATGTTTGTAACAGTTCCTTGCTGTTGGAAATCCACTTACATAAATTCATTCCAACGTCAGCCATAATCCTTTTGGCTTCACACGGCCATTGAAAGGCAGATGAGACGTTGTCGAGAGCTCCAACAAAATCCTCGACATATAGACATTTATCGAGCATTTCTTTGGTGGTTGTGTGTGCTTAATGCATAATATAATTAAAGAAAATAAGAGTAGACAATCTCCGATAACAAAAGAATATATTAAGTACTAAATTACAATTTAAATTACATTGCAGAGATCAACACAGAGCTCGGAACACAGTTCGTGCTAGCGTCGCGTACACTTGTCCGACGAGAAGTCTGAGTGAGTAAAGATGTCGCTTTGCTGCTCCGATTAAGAACTGGATTTTTCACGTGGCGCCATCTCATGAATAGAAGTTGAAGTATCTGTCGGAACGCCACATTTCCATTGTCACGGTATGCAACTCTTGAAACTTTTTGGTGTTCTTTAATGGTGGCAGACAGCAAGAAAGGACTGGCGTTGACGCCAAACAGAACACGTGCAAAATCTGAATATCATAATGTTCATTTGTACCTGGGTTTTTACTTGGAAACAGAAATCGGAACTGCATTTCGATCCTTTTCATGCAAAGATATCTGCAAAAAGGCCTTCTCGATATCTGCTAAGACGACCACTGCATTCAAACGGAGGAAGACAAGCATGTTCTATAAACACTCATTCAAAGAAAGTTCACCATGTTCATGTGCATTGGCATCAAAAACGATTCGTTTCTTGGAACTGACGGAGCCTCTGTAAACCATTGAAAATTCTAGACAAAACAAGGGCTTATCACCTTCTGCCTTGTCATTTGGAACCTTTTCAATGATACCCTGAGTTTCATAATCATTAAAATCTCTCGTTAGTTGTTATAAAGTTCTGAGCATCTCTCAAATTTTCCAGTCGTCTCCTAGCAACTGCTAAGTTATCACTTAATTCCTTAAAGTCGAGCTTCCATGGTAACCCAACTTCGTACCTCCCCTCCTTATAACACACAGAATTCTTAACGAGTGTTATGGCCCTAGCTTCCTCATCCGAGTATACACTTTGGAGGACACCAATTAATTCTAATTCCCAAAATTGTCTTAAACCCTAATCAACACAATGTTGTACAAAATAATATCGAGAATCACACCACGGGAATAGAACCTGTTACCATCCATCCGAAAACTGTTTCAATTAAAATGCTAGAATTACCCCTTAACTGGATTTGGTTTTCCCTTAATAATTCGTAAAACACGTCCCCTCCCAAAAGAAGCAATTTTTTTTAGGTAAATAAAATTTAGGATTAGCATACTTTATATTTTCTGGAAATTTAAAATGCTTGACATCTATTTTCTCAGCTGGGACATTTTCCAGCAATTTCTGGCAAAATTAAAAATTCGAGTTCCTGACTGAAAGATTCTTCGTTGTTAGCTATCAGTGCACTAATTTTTTCCGTAATCAGAACTACAGTATTTTTCAATTCGATTAAATCTGCTCTGCACCTCGATCTTTGAAAGCCTAATAAATCAGTTGCTTCCTCAGTTATTAAATTTCGCATTGACGTTGAATCACATAAAGCATTTAACTTTAACCATTTCCCATTGGATTGCCTTAAATTAACTCTCATAGTGGAAAGAAGAACATTTCTGTTTGTATTAAGTGAATAAAAACAAGAAGCGCTTTGCTTTTCGCTAACTGAGCCATCTGGAACCTGTGATTGCTCAACATTTGGTTTCAAATTTCCTGTCTTTTCCCCTTTCATGGGCTCCACTGTCAATAATAAATCATGATAATTTTTGTTTTGTTTTTGCTTTTCGAACGGGAAATTCACTCCGTGTAACATTGTACTATGATTTTTGTTACATGTTTTACACTTTAAATGAATTTTCTTGCATTTAGACATTGCATGAAATCCAAGACAGTTATAACACAGATTAAACTTTCTAACGTATTTTAATCTCTCGTCAGCTTTTGATTCAATAAACCTTTTACATCTGAAAATGGGGTTGCGATTTGGTGCATCCTAACATACAATTATTTTTGTCATTTTTTACTATTAGCATTCTGAATTTCGGAGTTAATTCCAGTTTAAATTCATTTCCTTCAAAACCTTTGTTTATGTTTTCCAAAGCTTGGCATCTTTTGTTTATCAATTCTGTAAACTTTGCCCAGGTCGGTAATTCAGAACCTAATTCCATTTCATATAACTTACGAGTATCAATATCTATTCGTTAAAGAATTTCATCACAAAGAGGGTTTGTGTGTAATTCCAAATGTTTTAAGGATTAAGATACAATAACACGCCAAACAAATATTAATTTAGAAGTCAAACAACAAAATTCAGCGTTATATTTTCAAAGGACTACTTTTGATGGTTTTACCGAACAATTATCCTCAGCTGCGCAAATGAACGAGAAGATATAATGATTAGATAAGATAAGAAAGCCTGGACAGGAAATAAGCCACTGGCGCCATCTGTTGATGAAACCAGAACTAAAACATTATTTTTTTAAAGGCTGAAGGCAAAGATGAATTGGAATTAGGGTTGTTAACTAGAACAGAAAGTTCTTTTTTTGAGGCATTTCACATTCAAAACCAAAATTAGGTGAGTGTACCACAGTGAAGGATCTGTTGATGGTGATTGCCAAGTACTTAAGTGTTGTTTACAATTGGTACTGGCTTTCCAAAAATGATTTAAATTTTAGTGGCTAAATTTTTAACTTGAGTTTCCGAATGAGCAGTACGTGTGTATCTGCGATTTGTTGGGGTTCATGCGAGCCTTTCAGGTTTTATACCACTCTTGGATGGCAAGAATCTAACTTTGGTGTTTGTAGAGGGTATATGTTCAGGTTTTCTTGATTTGGCTAAGATGGCAGCAACATCTGTGTAGCAAGCTAACAGGGCATTATGATCCTGATTAGCCTTTGGAAAGCTATTCATGTAAATTATGTACAGAATTGGACTCAAAATTGAACACTGCTGCACTTCTGCCACGATGTGATACATATCTGAGATGTTATCCCCACATTTCACAGCAAAAATACCGTTTTTGAAAAAGGAGGGGAGAATCATGACAATTTCCTTAAAAGGAATTCCTCATGGTAAATTTGTTGAAAGATCCCTCATGCCAAATGCTTTGGCCATGTCTAGCATAAGAACAGCAAAATTCAGTGTGTTATGCAGTGCAATTTGCATGTTCTCACAAACTGTCTTGTAGTCAATAGATGTTTTCTAAATCCATATTGATCATCTGCCGGGATTTCAAGACTTCCTTGCATTCTGTAATAAATGATCATCCCAAGAGATTTCGCAGCAAAGTAAGAAGATTTGTAAGCCTGTAACTCATAGTCAGCTTTGAGAATCATGAAAATAACTATGTGTTCCCATTTTTTTGGGAAGTAGCAATTTCACAGACAAACATTTAAAATATTGCTGAGGTACGCGAAGAATTTTTTGGGAGGTTATTTAACATACGACGTTTTACAGTTTTTCTAAACAATCACAGTTTATTACATTATGAATTCTTAAATACCCTTGAAAAATGCACCATATTAAAGTCATAAAAAGTCACCTCTTTCTGTAACATTTAAGATGTTCATTATTACCAGAACACAATTAAAACAAAATAAATAGCAACACATTAAATTATATTTTTAATAATTTTAATCATAGAAAAGAATGTTTTACAAACAAAAGCCATTGAAAATGGTAGTCTGATCAGGTATTTCAGTAGCATTAGGTATATTGTGAAAAAATGCTTCAGAATTCCAGATGGAAAGGATAATTAGAGTCATTCTTGAGCCTAAAAACAGAAAAATGTGAATACATTTCCTTAGCATGTAAAATTAAGATTTCAATTCCAAGCCTTATAAATGTAAACTTTAAGGTAATATGAAATGCAAGATACTTTATATAGTGCAAAATAATAATAACATTAAAAGTTTTAATATTATTAAGTGGGGTACTTGCAAGCTGGGAACAGTTACAAATATGTATAACAGAATTTATAACAACAGTAACAAATGATGTAATAAACACATATTTAAAATATTTCAAATACAATATACTTTACAAAATACATGTGTTTACAACACATAAGGGCAAAGCGGCAAGTCAAATACCAGAAAGCAGTGAGGGAAGTTTTGTGCTAACACATAGCATTTAAAAAAAACATTAGCGAGCTGTGAAAATGACTTTTACAGAATCAGGAACAATTACGGCCCTCATTTTAAAGTAATGTTTCTATGCCCATACAAATATTTATAATGTCAAAGGCAACTAAACACATGAATAAATCAAGTCAATTTACAGATAAATTTTGGGTATGCTGTTATCCTGAGATAAAATTGATGACTATTACATTTAAGGTTTAAAAAAAGAAAACACGGCATTGATGCACATACAGCAGGAAATATGTTGATTTATTCAGCATTTTTAATATGGAAAATGACTGGATGAAAAAAAAATATCTTTGAAATCTTCAATATTTAAACTTGTACTTTTTGGTAGGAGGGACCATTAAAATAGATAAATGAAATCTATAACACAATTGGAATATTTCCAGTTTCTCAGATGATGCAGCTTACAATTTTTTCCACTAAAGATGGTATGCTTAGAGGCTGATTTCACCACTCTGCAGTGGTTTGGAAAGGATACTAACAAGCCTGTTTCAACCAATGTGGAATTAGGATATAATACAACTTTAAAATATGAAAAAAATCATAAGTCACAAAAGGCAGTCACACTCCAACGAGACATTCAACTGAAAATTACTTTTATCTTCAAAATCACTAATACATTTGTCCAATCGTTCTGTCAGCATTTCAGACCTAGCTGCATAAAATTCTGCGGGTTGCTGTCTCAGACCAAATAGTACTTAACGCTGAACATCATTAAGATTTACAAAACATCTGCCTCCACAATGTTTCTGCAGTAGATCAAACAGGTATGGTTATTGATGTTATTATCATTGTGTACATTGTATTTAATGAATCAGTTCTTCCACTGCTGTGCTGTTGAATCTGTCTCAGTTTGAAAAAGACACCTGCTATGGAGCAGCCTTGAGAAAATATTTTGACCCACTTCTGCATGGCTTTGCACAAAAACTACTTTTTCTCTTAAACAAGAAACATTCTTTTATGAATATATTCAATGGTTCTTTTCCTGTTAAGAAATTACACATCTTAAAACAATATTAAGGGGCTTTATTAGATGTTAACACTATTTTATTATTTACATCACCATTCATATTTTAGGAACATATGCTCTCTATCTATTATGTGCTCAAGATTCAATATTACACTCTACTGAACATGTACAGATAAATGCTAGTAATGTATTAGATCGATGAAGTGTTGAAAATCAAATTCACTAAAAACACTGTCATTTGAACCAATATCTACAAATAAATACAGACAAACATAAAGCAAAACACAGGATAACTTTTATGAATACGTTAGAAAGTGAAACAAGTGATGAAAATGATTGGAAGCAAAAGTTTTATGAACAATTTTAAAAGATGAAATACATTTTAATTTGTGTTATCTTTTTAAATTTGTTACAGTAGATAAAGATATATATCTAAAACCTTTCTTTGTTACAGTTAAAACTCTATCTTTTGTTACAGTGGTTAAGATTATTATATTTTTCCAACATAAACTAAGTAACAAAATATTACACATGCAATAACCCAAAATGTTAAAACTCTAATCAAGCATTATTTACAAAAAGACACTCAACAACCCTCAGACACTAAACTTTTCATTCTGACTCTTCAGTATTACTTGGTAAAAGAAGAAGTTCCCAAACCTCAAAGGGTAAAGAGAAACTGCACTGGTTTTCTGATGCTGTAATATATATGTTTTAAAAGCTTGAAAATGTGCCAAAAATGTGTAAAACATTTCAAGTTGAAATGGATGATTTACTTTTGTACATAACCTTGTAAATATTACACCATTTCTCTTTTACTAATATATGATAAAGCATATGGAAACCTTATGATTAACTTCACTGCACTTTGATAACGAGAAATGGCTTCCCCACCCACCCACCACACACACACACACAAAAAAAAAAAAAAAAAAAAAAAAAAAAAAAGCGCCACAGCTAAAAATTGCGCAACTTTTTTTATATGCATTTAGCCTTTAAAATTTGCATTAAGTTTAATTTTGTTTCAGAATTTCATTTTAAGTATGCAAATGACCAGATTACTTTCATTACAGCTCTGAAACTGTGATTCACAGACAACAGAAAATATAGTATACAAGATTTTTTATATGAAATAAATACCGAAAAATATTTTAAGAATTCACTATGTAGAGGATCTACATATATCAAAGTAAAAATGTCATATTAGTGTACTTATCCACCCTAAAAATTATAAACAATAGTTCAAAAATCATTTTATAATATAGTTGAAATATTTAAACTTAGATTAATTCCAAGCAAATTTTTTTAGCAATTTTTACTTTTTTGATTCATGGAAATTATACTAATACATATATAACAAATATAAAAAACTTTAGATAGATCATAATTGCATAAAATTTATCTACGTATTAGCCTATTTTGTTTCACAAGAATTATTTGAATTAAATTTAAATAATTCTCTTGCACTATTGCTGTTGGAATATTATATTTTTTCACAAGAATTATTTGAATTAAATTTAAATAATTCTCTTGCACTATTGCTGTTAGAATATATTTTTTCATGGCTTTAGATATGTACACTTAATTTATATATGCTCTTAGAATTTAAATGGTATTATAAATTAGTTTGCAGCAATAATTAATCTTTTATATTTGCAATTAAAATTAATTTTATACAAATAGAGAATATTTGTTAGCCTATTTTGTTATTTATTACCATAAAATAAATACAAATCTATCATAAAACATGAAAACTTGTCAAGATGTCAACAGCCAAACTCATGCATACTTTGCAAAGAGTCACTGGCAATAGAGATGGAAACAAAAAGATAAGTCATACCAGCATAAAATTAACTATAGTACTTTCTGTGTGGTAATAATATTTCCAGTATTGCTAGCACTGACATATTATCAGGATCTATTTGTAACACTGAAAGGCACTGATCATCTCTACCTGAATAGTTTACCACTCCAGTAAACATGAACAACCATAGTTCTTGTAAAGACATGGTCCAAATTAATGATACCAATAAATACAATATTGTCCTGCAGATATATTTCCTCTTCCTCATGATTCTCTATCCTAAAATTTCTCCCTCTTCTCTAATTTACTTCATTCTAAGCACAATACATGGTGTACAAATTTTATTAATCTTATACATAAATGCAATAAAAACAAAATTTAGAAATACTGATGCTGGAACACTGAGACGTAGGAATGCAGCAATGTTGTTTGGTGTAGAAGGTAGATCCATACTGAAGAAGAAACTTGGCAGCCAAGGCAAATTAAATCCAATTTTATTTCAATAAACATGTTGCGGCCACACACAGCTTGGCACATTATTTGTGCCCATTTCAGAAACATTTACATTTTTGATACTGTTGTGATAGGAAGAGGGCACAAGAAGTCCAAAAAACACACAGAAAGAAGCTAACATGTGTATTTGTGTATTTACCCAATATGGCAGTCTCTTAAAGAGAAAGGTTTTGGTTGAAGTTAGAATGGTTTCAGTTCTCAGAGTTCAAGTTCCCAGTAAACTATGTGATCAGCATTACGCAAGCTTTATGGCATAGATTAATCTAAAAATGGCGCAGTCCAGAAATGCTGTTATTCTTAGAATACAGAAACAAAATACTCAACGAAATACCAAAATGAAAAATGAGGAATTAAGAGGCTATTAATAAATTATAAAGCTGATTTACATATTTTTTATCTTACATATTTGGGAATAGTCTATTAAGTTCAAAACAAAATTTATATACAGATGGGACAAGTTGATCTTGCACTTCAAGAGTTGAGAGTTTATATATATATAAATGAACAAACACTTACCAGTTCAAATGACAATAACGATACTTTTCTTTAAAGTCATTGATTGTAGCCATCTCTTCTGAGGTTAACTCAAAATCAAATATCTAGAAATTTTACAAAAATCAAATATAAACACTAACTTATGAATTAAACAGAGAATACCTAATAGTTTCCTTTGAAAGTTTAATAAAGAGACTGCAACATAATTTTGACATCTAACAGAACTGATATAGAAATAAAATGACAAGCACAAGCAATGACTATTGAAGATAATTTTTACAATTTTTTTTGGTGTATTTAAAACAAAAACAAAAACTTTGATCACTGAGAAATTTTTAGAAACTTTTTTTACCCTCATCTAACATCAAAATGCCCCTTTAAATGACTTTTCAAAACCTAGAAGATGGTGTGGTAGTAAATAAGAGTAATTATTCTCACAGAAAACACATTTGCATACATATTTATGAGAATACTGGGGAGCAATTAGCATTTCTAGCATGGTAAATGTTTATATCACAGTCCTTCCATTATTACAGCTATTATGGAAAGCTTTCGCAGCATTTTTATTTCTTACAGCCTCACAAACTGCCAGTTCTCATAAGCATTGATACACGACATAGCATAAAATACTTATCTTTCAATAACTACACTTTGCTTGATTAACTGAGCAATTCAAAAGTAATACTTATGCTTCATAATAATTTATAAATTTACTTCTTATAGCAATGCTGCAAACTATAGTAAATTTATAATATTTCTAATTCATGTAATTCATAATAGACCTAATTTATAATTTTTATAATCATCTGAACTATTAGTATAATTTACAAAAGATGTTGTCTATGATACATATTATGTACTCTAATAGACTGTAATCATTAACATGTCATCTAGCAATGAGTTAGTTAATTTTTATGAAACTCTGCATACTTGATTTGAAACAATATACACAAATTTTGTTAAATATTAAATGCATCCTAGATACTTTATTCAAGATAAAGGAACAGTTATTAAAACAATAACAACTAATAAGTTTAATTACTAAAGTACATTGTGCAGTGAGAACACGAAAAGAAATATTCCAGCAAAAACGTTCCCAAACATAAAGAAATATGACGACATTAAATAATTTCAATTTAAGAAATTCCACAGTTGACTTAAAAGCTATTGAATTTGAAATAGTATTTAAAGAGAGAAGTCATCCATTGTGAGTGCCTGATTAAAAAAGCATATAAATGTTTCAGTTAAAACTGGCAAGTTCAGTTAGTTAAGCAAATAAATGACTATAAAATTGCAATTCAAATATTATAAATTAGAAGATAATCTTTTCACATGAATTATATACATTATTATCACTTAAATCTTTACCTCAATAAACAGACATTGAAAAATACTTTAAAAAATGTTAATGGTACATAGTTCGAGATCCAGACTCATTGCAACTTCGGCAATACCGAAATTTTCTGGATATTTGACTGTTAGTTTAAATCAAGTAAGACAACATGTAGAAATTATAAAATTTGGAACCTATTGGAAGTTTGTAGCCCCTTTGACATCTTGGTGAAAAAGTGAAGTTTGGGACGACCATACTTCCACAATAGCTTTTAATATGTTATCAAATGCTTTTGTCGTCCCAATGTCTCCACATAAATTCTACTAGCTATGATTGAAGATGATGGTGAGCAGGGTCTCTTTTGTTTTTGATTCCGCCACGTCACAGAACCCCACAGTCTCTTGATGTTTTACATGTGTATGCTTGTAGTTTTATCCAAAAAGTAGTATTTATGGTTTACAGTCATATGATAATAACTTGCTTTAGAAGATCCTTAGTTTTATAAGCCTGCCAACAGTCAGAATAAATTATGGATTCCTCCTCTACATATTTGACCACCTTTGCCATCAAAGCACTTGCTTCTTTCACTACCTGAACTACAAAACATTCACCAGTTTCATGGCATATGTTGCTGAATACCCAGTACTGGGGTGGAATCCTCCCTTCATGTTTTTCTGTCAAACGAATGGGTTCTCATCGATTTCAACTATTTTCTCAAAACTATTCTCTTTTTAGGTTGTGGGAGGAGATCCAAACAACATTCTTCTCTAATGAAATTGTTCCTAATGAAATTGTTCAAGCATTGTTTTATCGCTGATATTTAGTTGCACTACTTTTCACACTACTTAATTGAAGTAAGCTCTTCAGCCCAACAGTAAATAAATCTTAGCACTGTTGCAAGTGGAATTCTTGATCCACTAAACCAATTATCAGATCAAATGCATGTTTTAAATTTGCAATTCTTCATGTTGCACAGCCATATATTTGCACTGATGCAGATTTTCTGTGACCATTTTCACAGGTTTAATTACAAGGCAAAATATCTCTTTCTTGAAAGAAAACTATGGAATCTCTTCACTTCTCAGTAAATTAAAAATAGAAACCTTTTTGGAACAGAAAGTATTAAATAATATAATATGATAAGCACTTTATAATTCACAATAAATAACATGTGGATCAACAAAACTGCAGTAATTCAGTATTCATGATAAATAACACGTGGCTCAATGAAACAGCAGCAATTCAGAATTCACAATAAATAACATGACTCAACGAAACTGCAACAGTTAGGAAATAATGATTTGGCCATAGTTTTTAACTATCATTGGTGATTTATCATGGGGACCATAAAATTCCATACATACCTAAAATTCAAAATATGAAACAGTGGTTTATGAAATAACGAAGTCTTTATAACCTTAAAGGAATAAATAAAACCTCAATATTTATTTGTTTGCTTTATTACATTTTTTCTCAATCTAAGTTATTTAAGTTGCTTAGTTTTTTGGGTTAATACTTTCTCTTTACTTCCATAGATAGACATGATTTTATTGTTCAGTTACAAAGTTCCATAGTTCAAGTCCCATAATTGTCGTGTCTTTGACTCTTACTAAATTGTCATTCAAATTTTTTTCTCATTTTCAGCAATCTCTCTGTCACTTTCTTCACATTTGGTAGTGATATATTATAGCCTTAGAATCATACTACATACTTCAATGTCCGTTAATTGATTCATGATTGGAACATTGTGATTGTAATTGAAAATTTTCTGTTATATCATTTATCACCCCTCCACAAATTTCATTAATTGCAAAATTTAGAGTTCTGTTTGCAATATCCATAAACCTTCAAATTCATGGCTATCATTATAAAGCTTAGCTAAAGTCCACTACACACTATTGGTGATGTATCCCGAGTTGGCGACTAAAGATATGCTGTTCCACTAAATTCTGTCTTGCTTCTATCGCACACTGACACCTGAATTATACATGTTTAGTTATTTATTATACTTATATCTATTTCCTACACATGTTTAGGGCTAATCCAAGTCCCAAATAAATAAACCCAAGGCTTATCAAGTGCTAGTGCTAGACATCCTAAATTCTAAACAATGGCATCTCAGTGACTTCCCTAAATTCTAAAGATTTTGCCTCTCCTAAATTCTGCTACCTAGTGCAGCTGCATCAGCTCTGGTGTTGGTTCTGAACTGCCCGATTTTTAAAATAACAATAATGTTAATTAAAACAGATTGACTTCAAATAACTTACTTCAAAATTATTACGAATCCTTTCTTCAGTAACACTCTTTGGTATAACTACTACTCCTCGCTGAACATTAAACCGAAGCAAAATCTGTAATTTAGTCAAAATATACATATTTAAAACTAATTATTTATAATAATTAAACAGCATAGCTATAAAAAAGCAACAAATTTTGAAAGAACACTGCATAGAAAATGAAAAAAGCAATTGAATACTAAACATGATTTGTCTTTTTGATGTAAAATGAACACAAATAGCTCAGATTTTGATGAATTGTAGTAATGTATCAATAAGATCACTAATAAGGTTAACACAACACTTTGTTTTCCCCCATGTATAATGTGAATGTGAGCCATTTTCTATTACAAAGTCCTTCACAAAAGCACTCCTCCCTTCCATATACTTAAATCTGCATAATAAATTTAAACCCAGAAATTATTATTATTTGTTTATGCACTTAAAATTTATATCATGGAGGATGGAAGATGAAGCTGATCAATGACTTTGTATAACTTTGCCTAGCATGAGCAGGTTTCGTACTGTCTCAAAGAATGCACCATAACCCTTCCAATTAGATGAAGTGTGGGGAAGGGAAATTCCAGCAAGCACATTTGAAGCACTGGTTGGGAAAGTATGATATTCCCACCAGATGTTAAAAGGAAAAATATTATGTATAACTAATCAGGGAAGCATACTTGGTAAATGAGAACTATACATACATAACTTATGCATTTCTGCATGTCTGATACATAATTCTAAACACTCCAAGGACACTATATTTGACAGATGTTCTGTTTAGGGAGTTCCAAAGTTTGAGCCCATACTGTTTGACAGGAATTATGTAAGTGTAAATTTAGCTGATCATCAATAACTTCATCCAAATATTTCAGGTATTTCATTTTTTCCCCCACTGCAGTCCATATAAGGGATACATGTATACCTTCTACTTGGGCTGATAAGCATCCCTTGTGGCTTGGGCACAGAAACTGTGATCTTCGGCAACACAAATAAAGAGATTAACTACCAGTTATTCTGTATTTCATTCATTCTTTTGAGTAGAATAAAGAAGAGATAAGAGAGATCATCAGCATAAGCCAATACATTCACAATGTTGTTTCCATGGAAAACTGCCTAGCCAAGTTTGCCACTTTATTCCACAGCCCTCAGGGCTCAAGGCAAGGATAAGGGCAACTTTTGTTAGCCCCCTAGTTCTACAGATCTCTCCTGCCTTAATTTCTATCTTTCACAGATTGAAGAGTCTCATTTATGAGATGCAGACTAACTATCCCAGAAGACCCTGTCACCAGAACTAGCTTTGCAGCTGGAGAAATATGTGACATACTGGGTATCTTTAAGAGTGCATACCAATCACTATTGTTTGTGATGCATGCATGGCAGTCAGTGGCCATTCATTTTAAACAATTCTTACAAAAAAAATCAAACCTTTTTTTTGTAAATATCAAAGATCAAAATGAGTTTTCATTTTCCCTATTATTTATATTTAGTGAGTATCTGCAGTCACATTTCACCATGTGTCGAGTTAAAAAAAAAAAAAAAAAGTTTACTTTTGGAAAGTGTGTGTGTGTGTGATTATGGCAAAGCCTCGGGGTCTATCTGCCTAAGGGGAGGGATGCCTTCGTGGAGGACTTTCTAAGGGAAACTGGCTCGTATACACGTTACACATGGGGAAAACCACGAAAACGCCCATGCAGCAAGCCCGTTCGCGGGATTCGAACCTCGGACCGAACTACCAGTGTTCAGCGACTTTACCGCTCGGCCGCTGGTGGGCCTTACTTTTGGAAAAGTTCCTCTTAAAGTTGTGATCATCTTTTCTCTTACTCCTGTATTTGCGAAATAAACTTGTTACAATAGTCACATGGGTGATTTCTTTTTGTACCATTTATTTTTAATTAACTTATACTACAGCTACATGTTAAAGCGTTTTACTAAATTAGAATACATGCTTTTATTTAATAGTATTATTAATCGCATTATTTCTCCTTTTAATGCCTGGTACAATATTATGAATTATTTAAAATGGTTTACACCAATTAGTTTGCATAAATGGCATTTTGTTGTATAAAATACCTTCTACTGGAGTACATAAAAAAAAATCAAAGTATTATGAAAAATAAATAACATTTGGAATGAATGTATTATATACCTGTGCTGGTGTTCTCTTGTGCTTTTCTGCAATTTCCTTGATTCGGGGATCTTCCAGAAGTGAAGGTTCATCGGGTTTAACCCTATAAAAAAATTACATGAAGATACCTTGAGTGAATTTAATAACAAAAAACTTGAACATAACATAAAAACTGACAGAAATAACAATAAAAAAATTATTCATTACTATCCAGAGACTCAAAATTTCCTTATGTTAAAAAATTTGCCTAAAACAAAACTTTGTATGGAAGATTCAGTTAGGCTTCTCCCACTTTGTGAAAACACAACATTCCTGTAAAATCTTTCATAAACCAAAATGGCATTAAGTAACTACCCATTATTTTGCATGAAATCTCTGACTGCTTCCAGATTTTCAAGGAAAAAAATCAAATTCCCAGATATATCTTAAAACCTAAAAGAACATATGTATGATTCAGTTTCAATTCCTAAAACTGAAAATAGAACACACATACCAGAAAACTTAAAATATGCTGGCAATGACTATGGTGAACTGAGTTTTAGAATGTGATAATGAAAGAGATACAGCTTACAGTACAAGAAAAAAGGAATAGATATCCTATGTTACCTTATTTCTATCCAATAGATTTTTATACAATCTGTTTACAATTTCTATGCCTGCCTGGCCTGATTCAAAAGTCAAGATTGGTTACAACCTGTCTTATAAAAGTTTTAATAAGAAGCTTTGGACTGCTAATGTTATTTGCTCCTCCTAATGCACTTGCATCACAGAAAACTTGCATGTGTAAACTACTCTGTTCGAAAGTTACGACAGTCAGGGACAGTGGAAGCGGGCTTGCACAGCCTGCACTGCAGGATAGCACCACCAAAAAAGGGACACTGATTGATAGTTTATTATAATACAAATTTTGGTACTGCTCTATTATAGAAATGGGTCTGGAAATGTATGCATGTATATATGGATGGATGTGTTCCTAAATGCATGTATAAGTATGTGCATGCATACACATGTGTACACAAAGACAGACATTTCTAATCTGGTCCTGATAACAGAAGAGTACCTAAACTTGTATTAATAATCACAGATCTCGAAAGAGATAATTAAAAAGTACAGCAAAAAATGCGATTACGGAAAGAGTATGTGATATTAGTATTTTTACTGAGCACCAAGAAGTAGGAATTGAATCTATTCAGTGTTATGTTTCCTAGAGAAATATCTCCTCAAATAAACAAAATCATCAGGTATCCTGGATTGTTATTTTAGATTGATGAGTCAAAGCAGCTTTATCCTAAAACAGTCTTGACAATTTTATTCCCGATTTAGCTCGGACTAGCTTTCGACCATCATTCATCATTTAATGAAGAGTAATACTTATTATAAATGTAACAAATGGTGATTTTATGCCACTTCATATTCTGTTCATTATATCAAAGAATCACATGATTTGCAATAACCTATTTTTGCATTTGATTTATCTTAAAGACCAATTTCTAGTCACAGCTTAACACCTCTGCTGCCCTTGTTGAGAGAACCAAGTTTCCCTGTAAGCTCGTCACCTTGAAGTGCTGAATGTCCCTGGGAACCCCCAAACCCATTTTGTAATTAAGCCCAGCATGCAAAAATAATTCCTATAAAACTTGCTTTTTATCTAAATATTTGGATTTTGACACATGTTATTTGAATAATATTTCTTGTAACAAACAGAAAATTCTAATACTGTGCAGTATTAGTAATAATGATCATATTCCCATGTTTAAATAATTTTTGTACAATAATGAAGTAAAAACTTAAGAATTTAAATATCTCATCAGTAGAATGATGCATCACTGGAGTTACCTAGGTTACCTTACATTCATTGAAAAATAAATTATTTCGAATATATCAATATAAATACAAAATTAAAAGTTTTAAGGTTTAAAAAAAAAAGGCCCATAAAAGAACAGAAAATTGCATAAAAATCACAAGTCCATAAGGCATGTACATGGAACAGTAGGTAAAAATATAGAGTTGGCGACACATGATGAATATGATTAAAATACAAGCACAGGCAGCTACGAAAATATAAGGCACATAATACGTGATTTTAACATAATAAACAAATAACATCACAGAAATGTGTTCATTCCTCAACACATATCTGTTCATCTCATAATTTTTATTACATAATTTAATTTTGTAACTCTGCTATGTAATTCTTCTACAAGTTTAAAAAAACTTGTGTTTAATGATAACTTATGCCTGTATGTAATTTGTGATTAGAAGCATCTAACATCATTTTGCCCCATATAATCTTTCGGGTTATTTGTGCCAGAAAATTCACTACTAGCACCATCATCCCCATCCACTGTACTTGTACATATTGCTTCAAACTAGCATTCTACACCATAATTATTTATACTTTTCTTCAGTGATAGTATAAAATAAATACTGAACTATATCACTTTCCACCTTTCTTTGCAAAAGCAAAATCTTCTTTGTATTTCTTTTGATAACTAGGAAAGGTAAAAATTTAGGTTTTTCATAAAAGTGAATTTTTATAAAGCTCGATGTCATGATTCATGAAGAAGTCTCACTTTCAGATGCTTTCTGATGTCATCTCAAGAATAGGTTATATTTTTCAGCTCCTGAGTTGCTATCATGCCACTTGAGAGGACTTGTTGTGCGCATTTTGATTTTTACAGCTAAGAATTAAATGCTACTGGAGACAGAAATGTGTGATAATTAATGATAATCAGTTCATGTTTGAAACTATCCTTATCAGATGATTTATGTGCAGCTTGGTGCTCATCAATGAATTAAAATTTCTTAAGAATGAAAGAATATGATAGAAGATTCAACTAATTGTCCTAGACATTGAAGCTACAGAAAAAGTAAGCAAATTCCTTCCTACCCTTAATTTAATTTGAAATATCACAGATATTATGTAGCCTTCATGAGCACCAACACTAGTATAATTTCTGAAATAATATTCATGTCATAAATAGATAAATAATAGATGAAAATTTAAAAGGCTAACAAAAGATGCTATAAATGAATGTTTACCAAGGTCTATCAGGAGAACCAAGAGGACTATATGCAGTAACAGCTATGTCATGCTTTTTGCAGAAATCAATAAGTTTGTTCTGATTCAGGTAAGGATGGCATTCAACCTGAAAAATTATAATGCATTATACTTTAGAAAAAATGAATTAGTGAAAAACCATGCAATAAAAATTTTAAATGCGTTAGTGCTATATTGATGAATTTAACTATGTATTAGAGAGATGTAATAATACAAGTCACAAGTCAAAATAAAAATGCAACAAAAATCAGTTTTAAATTGATAAATGATAGAAACTAGTTTTGACTAAAAGATTTAATCTAGGTGAATTGAAATAAAGCAGGAAAGTAAAATTATAACAGTTTTTATACTATGCGAGTAAATTTACTAACTCATTAAAATATTTTAATTCTCCGTGTTCATTACAACACATACATTTACTGTAAATTCATGACTACTTGCTTATCTTCAGAAATTTAAAATTTTGCTGGACCTGCAAGGTTGTTTTGTTCTACAGCTACTTTAGAAGAAATGCAATCTTAATTCTTGAAGCTAGATATTAATAAATTGTACAACTATAACGCCAGTATTAACTTTCAGCTTGTTTCCTTAGATTCATACTTAAAAAGGTTGCAATTTTATGATATCCTACATGAGTTTTCATACATGACTAACAAATAATTTTAACTTTCAATAATTTAACGGATTAGTTAGATGCAGAAGCAATAAATTCTATTAAGTCTGGGTCACATCAATTATGATTTTTAATATTTGAATAATATTCATATAAAATTTATCATTCTAATATGCACAGCCACAGAAATTTTTTTAATCTTAAAATTATAAATATTTTACAAAGCCTAAACTTGCATTGTTAAACAATTCCATGGAGACTGAAGGTAATGAAATGCTCTGCAACCTTCAAATGGAAATTCGACCTTTAGGCAGACACATTTCTACTACATTAAAAAGTGGGATGTCTCTGAAAATTTCTGTAAACTGACTTCTTCAATAATGTTTCTCCAAACTGCTTAAATCCTCTCTGCAGATGTTATAACTGTTTGACAGTACATATATGTGTGAAAATGCTTTTTTTGCTCTCAACCAAATTAAACTGAAAACAAGAAATTACGTTCAAAGTTATTCACTGGAATCGAGCCTGAGACTTCGCCTTACTGAAGTTACAGTGAATATTGATAAACTTGTATCAGAAAAGCAGTGCCAATCATCACACTGACTTCTCGGCTGTAAAATAAAGTGATATATTAAATAGTGAGTCATATGTAATTTGTTTTCTTCCTTTGCTGTCTCTGGATCTCCTTTTCTTATATTAAAGTTTGATTGGTCCTCAGGTATGGTCAACTATAGGTTGGGCCAAACTGTCAATCGGTAACATCTTTACTTTCAACCAACTGTACTATTCATACGACTGTTCAAGCAAAACAAGACATTTGGTACTTTCGTTTTCTTTAATAAACATCAAATGCATTACTTTTATTATTCTTTGAAAAGGTTCCTAAGCAAAGAAAGTCTAATGAAATAGACAGTCATATTTAAAAACATCTGGCATCAAATTTGATAAAATTCTGCATGACTAGCTGCTTGAATCAAAAGCTTGACCTATCAACACCCTGATGTCAATGCTGGAAAACAACTTGTGAAGCCTTTTGTCCAAGTTCATGAAAAAGGAAGAGTTAAATGAGATACTCATAATTATCCTTAATCAAGAACATTTAAATAAAAATTTTAATACAGTTTCCTTTTAAGCGCCATTCCCACTGGGGTTTATCTGAGCTAACGGAGTCGGTTCCATGTGTCGACTAGCTTCGCTGTGCCTGCAGTTCAGATTTTTCAACTTGCTGCCCTTTTGGGAAAAACTGGCTTTGGAGATGGGTCGACTACGTTAGTTGTGTTCGTTAGCTCAGATAAACCCCAGTGGGAATGGCCCTTTAGAGTACAGTTGTATCTAAAATACTTTTCATGATTGGGAAAGGATAAGTGCTCTTCTAGGAGCAAAATAATATAAGTAAATTATCAGGAGGTGAAAAAGCTGATTAAGGGATCTGTCTCTCTTTGTTTTCGGCTTTACCTATAGACAGCAGCCATTTGATTGTTGAATTAGGTTGCAGTATAATAACTCGAATTTATTTTCTCTTGTACAAAAAATAACTATTTAAACTGTCTGACTTTACTTTTTTCATCAAAATTAAATATAAAAAGTGTTAAAACTCTACAAATGCAAGTTAAGTGATTTCATGTTCTTAAAATCAAAAGCCTTTAATAAGCTTCACAAATCAGTTCAAACATTTTTAACTTATTGCAGAACGATATTTTTAAAAATAATACACACTACATTTTTACTTTTTGTGAGCCAACACTTCTTAGAGCAGGGGACCCCAACCTTAAAAGCACATTCTAAAATATCTGTTGGATGGTGGGCACCATTAATTTTTTTTAAGGTGAATTTACAGTTGGATACAATTTCTGTTTCATTAAAAATGAGAAAACTTTCACAAAACACGTCTTGGAGTATATCAATCCCAGTGCACACAACACTTCTTGTACTGGCACCAAAGGTCACATGTAATCTAATTACTGTGTACAACTTTTAAACTTGAATTATTAAGCAATAAGATGCTTTATGCAATATAATAAACATTTGTCAATAGCCAATAAAACTATTTTTAGTCAGTCTAAATTTTATCAGATTTTATTGCATAGATAACGAGGAATTGTAGTTTACAGAAATACATATAATGCTTGAGGTTATAAAGCAAAGAAATTAAATAGCTAAACACACAACAAACAAATTAAGAAAGAATTCAAATTTCTAGCAAAATAATGTTGCTTTGAAAATGGTTGGTTTGATTTGGTTTGTTTGATTATGGTGAAGAACTCGAGGACTATCTGCCTAAGAGGAGATATGCCTTTGTGGAGGACTTTCTACTAGAAACTGGCTTGTATCCACATTATACATGGGTAAAACCATGAAAACACCCATGCAGCCAGGCCATTCACCGGGATTCAAACCCCAGACTGAACTGCCAGAGTTCAGTTACTTTACCGCTTGGCCGCTGGTAGGCTCTTTCAAAAATAAATTAAAATTAGACTGCTGTTTCCATATATGAAATCAACATTTCATGTGTATGTTTATTATCAAATGATTATTGTGTTTCAAGCCATTCCTTTTGTTAAAAACAGAAAACATGAAGTTATTTTGCAAACTGAAGCTGTTTTACCAAATTTTCAGTCCTTAATTACTAAATAAGATAATCTTACATTACACACTTATTTACCTTCATAACTGACCAATGAAAATTTTCAAACAGAGCCACTTTTAAAGGTTAATCGCATTAAAAATTGAAAAAAGGTGGAAATATTTAAAACAATTTCTTTTTTTAACTCCATAATTTTAACAGGGGGGGGAAGAAGAAGAAGAGAGAGAGCACTGAATTTTTTTAACATTCAGTTAGGTTTAATTCAAATATTTCGAACTGTAGTTACTTTTATACATAGAAAGTAGTTAGTAAAATTTCTATGCAAACAAGTACAAAAGTAACTACAGTTCTATTAGTTACTTTTATACTTGTTTACAAAGAAATTACTGTAGTTTTACAAGTATACATGCACACAATGCAAACAATAATATAAATTAAAATGTTCATACAGAATATTTTTAACTCAATTCTAATTTGGATAAGCTTTAATAAATTATTAATAAAAATTAGGAAGTACCTGTAACATGACTGGTTTAACTTTGCATATATCAAGCACTCGTTTAATTTGCTCACTGTTGAAATTTGATAGCCCAATTGAGCGTACAAGACCTTTCTCATAACACTCCTCCATGCCCTGAAATAAATATAATTGTTTCCCTGTATAAAACATTTATTGCATATTATATGCTTTACAAAGAGTTGCAACATCACAGAAAATCTATTTCAGCAAATTAAATTTTGTACATTAAGGCAGCTGTAGTTAAAAATAATAATAATAATAATAATAATATAATTTTCCAATTAAGATTTCACAGCATAGAACTCCCTCCCACCACACACACACACACACACACACACAAAAAAAAAAAAAAAAAAAAAAAAAAAAAAAAAAAAAAGAGGGAGAGGAGACTTCTATGGATATATTGCAATGTTTCTCCCTATGGACATATTAAATGAACTCTGTGCGTACTACTCTTTATACAACATGGGTTAACTTGAACTGCTAAATATTTTACTCCAAGATAACTCATGAAGTTATTGTGCAAGGAAAAAGCATCAAAAAGGAATATATTTAGTTTTTGAATTACATTTATTACTCAGTGGTTATTTACTGCCAAACATATACAGAATTATTTACACTCTCAAAAGACATTACATTTATTAACATGATTAACAGTAGAAGATTTTATTAGCAAACTGTTGCAAAAGTTGACAAAAAATACAAATGTAGTCCCCCTACAAAAAAACCTTATCCTCAAAGGAAGTGATAAAAAATGATTTAGAAAAGGAATACAGGAGGGAGTCTTCCAGGCATTAAAAAGAAACAAAGAACTAACTTTAACATTATTTAGGAAGGGCTTACAAAGCAAAAGCTACAAGTTAAACTCAGGGCCTTCAGAAGCTAGAAATTCAATGTAAGCATACTAAAATTCTGCTGTTGAAACTTATTTGTTTAAAAATATACACTATGAAATAAGCCCAGTAAAAAAAAAAAAACACTACGGTAAACTGGTTCTTTTGGTTACTATCATTAATAAAACATTACGATTTAAAGAACATTTGTAAAGTACACAGATTTGTTAGGATAGGGTAAACTTTGAGCATGTGCACTTTAGCCTAATCAATGCACCCTGCCTCAAACATTCAGACATTTCCAAGAAGGCTAAATTACAAAAAAGTGGTTACATGAGTCACATGACCAGAAGAGCAAGAAAGATAATATACTTTAACTAACTATGTGTTTCAAATATCTATGCTTATTTTGCTCATGTTATTCAGTATAAATAAAATGTTGTCCAATATTTGAACTTGTGTTTTTTCCACCTTATGCAATCAAGCAATAAATTGAGGGCCCACATTCATGCATTAAAGAAAGAATCCATAATTGATGAACATCACATTGAATTTAGAAGTAACTTTTTTATATTGGATTACATATGGTCCAATAAGGTGCAGATGATTCATCAGGAAACACAGATGTGCTTCAATTTATTCTGTTGGAAAATATTTGAAGTTAAATCATAATAGCAGAGCTTGTGAAACTCAGAAAGGAAAGTTATTAGTTCAACTATAACTAAAGTAATATGTTCTATTGAACTTTCAATTACTTCTAATAATACTGAAGATCTAGAAGAATAACTAGAAATTCTAAAAGTAAAAGTTGTTCCTTTGAAAGTGTTAGATGCAAAAATTGGGAATTTAACTGACATAAACAATACGGAAACCGAAATCGAAAGTGCCTTGGAATATAAGGAAAAGATAGCAAAATAGAATTTCAGAGGTACAAATTATAAAAAGAAAAACAAAATGTAAACGATATGCTAGGTTTTAACAGTACTTCTCCTGATAACAGTAACACATCAGTTGTTCCTGATGTTATTAGTAAATGTTTCTGTTTATAATATTTGTTAAACTGCTGAAAATTATGAATGATAAATTTCATGGAAATGCTCAGGAATGGCGATTATTTTACAATTCTTTTGATTTGGCAATAAATCAATACGAAAATTTAGTTAAAAGTGGTAAGTTCAATTGTTTGTATAGTTTATTAAGTGGTGTAGCTCTAAGAACTGCTGAAGGATAGTAAGTAACTTTACTGTGTTGCTCACCGGAATTTTTCAAAAGAACTGGATCTTTACCATTTAAGTTTAAATGGCAGACACATTTTGTAATTATAATAATTCTATAAAATTTTAGTTTAATTCTAAAAAGATTTAATGCTGATTTGTAGGGAATGGTACATCATTTCCATTGCAGAATTTTTTCAAAATTGGGAAATGGGCTTACTATAGAACCTTTCAGATATTTTATGGAAGGTAACCTAATGAACCATTATCTATCTTGAATGATAATTAAAAGGCTCGTCATAAAAAATTAAGGAAAGTGGCCCATGATAATAAAAAAAAGTTTATGCAAGAAAGAACTTACAACCAACAAATATCACAAGGAGGATAAGTGTATATTAATTTATCAATAAGCGTGTCACTGAAGTATTCTACTGTTACATGCTCTCATAAGTTACATTTTCTGAATAACAGTTGCATTTTTAAAGAAGTGCAGAAGATATCAAATTTTCCCTATTGTAAATCAATACCGAATGGTACTTTTCAAGGTTTTAATTTATGGAATGGTTTCATTATATTTCAGTTTTACCCTTGAACAAATTTTACTTTTTTTTCAAAATCAAAAGTTGACTTTATTAAAAAATATTGACTTTCTAAACAAATACAAGAAATTAAAAAATCAGACTGGAAATTTTATAATTGCAATAATAATAAAGCACAATAGGAAATTTCTGCGCTGTCCAACAGAATACCCAAAAGCAGACAAAGAGGTTCCCTTCACAACGAAAGACTGCATATTTTATCTAATCAGGATACAGATGTTGCATATACTCAAAATTTATTATATGTAATTTTTTAAAGCATACAAATTATGAAATAAAAGTAGAACAATTACTTATAAAAAAGAAATAGGGGAAACATAACAGAATTACCTTCCATGTCTCAATATAATCAATATCGCTAGTAAGCATTTCTCCCTTTTCATTTTTTGGAAATAGCTCATCTCCTTCCTATGAAAAAAATTTAATGTAGTAGTAATAAAATGTAATAGCCAGATTGAAAAAAATGTAGCAACATTTAAATAAATAAAAAACAACTGTAGCAACAATAAATATATAAATAATAATTTTAAAAAGTCTGAAAGTTTTCAGATTTCATATTTTGCTCAAAGGGGTGTTTTTTCATGGGAGGTTCAAAACCAGATTTGAAAAGTGATACAAGCATTAACAGTCATTTAACACAAAATACCGTTAGACAATGTAATGTCTTTGAGTTGCTACGCTACCAACATAATACCAGTAAGAAATGTAAAGAAATCTTGCACATAGAATATCCGCACTTGAAGATGCACGCAATGATAATGTTAATGGAACACTTTGAAATCGTTGAGTTTGTTAATAAAAAATTCATTAAAAGTTGTACAAAACATGAAATAGATAATAAAGTAAATTTCAAATTTGAGCTTTCAGATGCCCATATTTGAGTGGAGGATTACATTATTCAAAATTTGATGTCTCTAGGTACCATTATTTTTTCACAATTGCGAAAAACATACATTCATGCAGATTCTTCATTATTTAATTTCTTTAAATACGAGGGCCATCCAGGAAGTAGATTACGTTTCCGTCTGTGTCCGCTAGGGGCGGGGCTAGCGCGGCCATCTTGGGGTCAGAGCGTTGCGCAGCTCAGTCTGCATCTAGCCGTGCTAGTGAGAGGTTCGTGCTGTGCTCCGTTCAGATACTGTGACGGTTTGAAATGTCTGCGTTAATTGAAAATCCCGCGAGCTGCGAGGTGCGCTCAGTAATAAGGTTTCTGACTGCAAAAAACTGTAAACCGATAGAAATCTATCGGCAGCTTCGTGAAGTGTATGGGGACAACATTATCACTGAAGGTGGAGTGCGTCAGTGGGTCATAAGATTTCAAAATGGCCGAACCAATGTTCACGACGAAGATCGAAGTGGGAGACCCAGCATAGTGACCGCCGAACTTCTCGAAAAAGTCGATGCTAAAGTCCGTGAAAATCGAAATTTTCACAATAACGGAACTTTCTTTGAGTTTTCCACAAAATTTCGCGAAGTTTTGTTGCACGAAATCATCAGCGAAAAGCTTGGTTACCACAAGTTTTGTGCAAGATGGATTCCAAAAATCTTGACAGAGGACCACAAAAATCAGCGAATGGCTGCAGCGTTGAACTTTTTGGATGCTTACCATACGGATGGTGACTCTTTACTCGATCGCATCGTTACTGGTGAGGAAACATGGGTGAAACATGTGAACTGTGAAACGAAATTGCAATCAATGCAGTGGGGGCACACAAGTTCTCCCCAAAAACCCAAGAAATGCATGCAAACAATGTCGGCAAGGAAGATGATGGCGACTGTTTTTTGGGACAGAAAAGGTAATTTTGGTGGACTTCCTGGAAAGAGGCACTACAATAAACTCTCAAAGGTATTGCCAAACTCTCCAAAAACTCAGAAGAGCAATTCAAACAAGCGCAGAGGAATGTTGAGCTCTAAGATCTTGTTGATTCACGACAACGCCCGGCCCCACACGGCAAATGTCACTCGTAAAGTTCTTGAATCTTTTAAGTGGGAGTTGTTTCCTCATCCGCCGTACAGTCCCGACCTGGCACCGAGCGACTTCCACCTATTCCCAGCAATGAAGAAGTGGCTGGCTATGCAGCGTTTTGATGACGACGCACAGCTGCAAGAAGAGGTAACGAAGTGGTTGAAGGCGCAGGCGGCCGAATTTTTCGACGAAGGAATTTCCAAGCTCGTACATCGCTACGATAAATGCCTTAATTTGTATGGTGACTATGTAGAAAAGTAGTATTTGAGTGTGGCTTTCATCTGTATATAATAAAATTTGTTTCCTATACATTGTTTATTTTTTTCCAAAACGTAATCTACTTTCTGGATAGCCCTCGTATAATGCAGGTATCTAATATTTGGTTGCAACAGTTTGAAAAATGATTCAGACTTTTACAGTGAACGACTGTAAAATGCCCCCTCCCCCCAAAAAATGACAGACATAATTTAAATATACAAACTGGATATTATTATTACTTTCCAAAATTCAATGATTAAATATTTGACATCAGTTTCAAAGAATAAGTGTTCTTTACTAGAATGGATCATATACTACAGCAGTTTATGTCAGAACATGATTCCTTAAACCCTTTTATTAATCATAAATGGTTATCCAAACAAGGAAAGAAGTATCGAATCTTATTTCAGTTCAAACAGACCTAAACAACTGGGAAAAATATTTATTGATCAATTTCATAGCAAATGTAAATTAAAATACAGGTAAAAAAACTATAAAATAATGTGTTTAGGAAATCAATTTTTAGTTTAATCTTGAAGCATCTGCCGCAACACATATTGTTTGGAAATCATAGCAATACTCTTAAGGCTTATCTAAGCCCTAAATAAATACCTTTCCATAGACTCCAACCTTCAGCAAACCTTGTCAGTAGTCAACACGCGAACGACATTTTTACAACTTTGAAAATGTGCGCGTAGCGTATGTTGTAATTAACCATTCATTAATTTTAAATTAATAATTAATTGTAATCAATTTTATTACATTTAAAATCCATATACATATAAAACTGAATAATTAAAAATATACCTTGTAAATTATATGCACATTTAATTAGAAATTTTCTTTTAACTCCTCAAGCATTCACTAATAAAAAGTACTTCAAATAACTACTAATCATGGAAAAAATCAGAAGCTATAAATCATATCTTTATTCTGGATATGATTTCTACAGGGAAATAAAATTTAAATAACCAAGAATGATACATATAAGTATTAAACAAAATATGCATAATTTATGAATGCAAAGATTTATATGTAGCATGCTTAGCAAGCTTAAGTTCTGATTTTGAGAATGTTTTTTTATAACACAGTTCTTCATTTGCCTGCATATTTATTTTTTCAATCAAAACTGCTTCAAGAGTTTTAAGACCTAAATTCGGTCGAAATTCCGTCTGATTTTTTTTAACAATAGAAAAAATTCTTTCGCAAGCTGCATTTGAATGAGGTATTATTAAGACAGCAAGCATTACAGAAGGCAATGCTTTGTATTTAATACACCCATTCATATTTCTTAATTTGGAAATTTCTTTCCATGCTATATCAATATGCAAATCTACAATTTCTTTCAAATCATGGAAAATGATACATGGAAAATTCAATTTCTACTTGATTAAGACATTTTTCATCAATAATGGATGGAAAAGTATTCATCAAGTAAAGAACAGATGAAAATGAGACTTCAGTTCTCAAGTTGATGTCAGCAACTTCAGCATGTTTTAGAAATGGATCACTCAGTGGAAATTCATCAATTATATATGAACATGCAGTTACAAAAAAAGCTCGCACAGAATTGAAAAAGCATTTCACTTCACTTTCATTCAACTTGGCATTTTTTTAAATATAGTCTTGTTTCCGCACCAATCACTAAATTTTCATTTTCTTTTTGTTTACTATACTTCTTGAAATGGAATAGACGTTAGAGTAACATCTTTCATTTTCTTTAGAAATTACTGATGGTTTTACGGAATCTAACAAATAAATTCATTAAAAGTTCAAAAGTTCTCTTCTCAATTTATGTATATAAGGAGCTTGTTGTTGCAAATTAATATTTACTGTTATAAACAAAGGAAAGTATTTTTCAAAAAACAAGTACAATTTGGTGGTCGGTGACTGTAAAATTTTTTTTAATGTTTTGCAATCTCTTTCCTTCATTCTCACTGTTATCTGGTTTATCTCCAAAAAATTTATCACAGCATCCCACTGTTCCAAAATCCTTGTTATAGATTCTAAAGAGACAACCATCTCGTACTGCAATATTTCAAAATTTTATGAGATTTTGCATTCTGTCCCAAAATTTGTTGAGCAACTTTGAAGCTATGCTTCCGTTTCGAACTTTTCTCCTCCAAGTAAAAATATATATCTATTATCAACATTTCAATTTCTGAGCCAATTAATTTTTCAGTAGCTTTTTTTTGCAGCTATATGCAAGAGGTGGCACGGACAACCTCGGGTGATTATACTTGGTTGATGCATTTTGATAAATGATGCTACACCTTTAAACTTTCCAATCATATTACTAGCATTATCTGAAGAAAATGATAAGCAATTTTTCCATTCTAAACCTTTGTTTTTTAAAGTTTTCATGTTATACAATTAAAAATACCTTCTGAGGTGTATTATTCGTGCATTCTAAAATAGAAACCAATGAAGTAATTATTCACTCCTTTTTCTTTGCTGTAGTATGTTATAATCCAAAGGGTACAGTTTGTTTCATTGTTATCATTACTTCCATCAGTACTTAGAGAAAAGCGATGTACTTGCACAACTGATTTTATAATATCAGCAACAGTACTTTTTCTGCAAGCGTTTTCACAATAGCAGCAGTTTTGGTATGACCGCAGCTAAATTTTTTTACTACGGCAGAATCCGGAAACATTGCTTTGAAAAGCTCTTTGGAATGATCCGAAACAGAAATCGGTAGATTATGTTCAATTAAAAAACGAACAAAATAGCATTCGGCTTTTATAGGATCTGTTTCATCATCTTTTATTAAGAAATTTATTTCTTTAGATTTTAACGGTGCCCAAGTTCTATATGCTTTTGAGAAAACACATGCCGTTTACAGTCATCTTTTCCGCCATGAGCACTGAGAAGTCTTTGTTGCATACACTGCAATGTGCATGATTCACAGAAATTTTCGGATACGCTTTAATGCATGGAAATTCTGAAGAATATGGAATCTTTAAACTTTCTGCTTTTGATAATTTTGGCTTCTTCGTTCGAGGCAGCATTATGATTAAAAATCTTTCACCTGATTCACAGTTCACAAGACACAACTAACGCTAAGCTCTCGTCGTAAACTACACAATGCAGCCGAATGCAGCCTAAACACGCATCAGCGAGGAACCTGGGAGACAGACAATTGGGTGGAACTATTGATAAGTCGTTAACGGTTGGAGTTACTGATCTACGATTGGCTAATTCTTCAAAACTAGGAATGCACTCAACACGTGATATATGATAACACGAGTATTCAGCCAATCATCGGATGAATTAGTTGGTTCCGTTTTGCATACTGGTTCTCCTGCTCTTGTTTCTGTAAAATCCATAGTTTTTTCCATACTTTTCGTAGCTCGTAGTTTTTCATGAATTTCCGTAGAAACTACGGAGAATCCGTAGTAGTTGGAGTCTATGCCTTTCTCCATGTATTTAAAGTTTACTGGAACAACAAATTAATTATTTTTTATTCAAACAACACTAAATGTTATCTTTTGGCCTATAAATATCAGAGAAAAACTACAAAAAATTCATTTTTTGTATACGGAAGAGAAATACCTGCTAAATTGTTCACTACCAATGCACTCAATTTTTTGCAGTGCAGTTGGCCGAAGTCTGTATTTGCTGCTAAGCATAAAGTCAACAAAAATATTACCATGGTGTTTGATACTCATTTATTCAAGGGGAAAAAAAAATTAAGGCATGGCTGCATAAGTCATTTCTCAAGCAGCCATCAGTTGATAGATAGTCATACCGCATATAAAGCAAAGAATAAGAAAAAAATGAGTCTCCAGGTTGGCATCAGGTTATAAATTACTCAACACAATGTAAAATCACACATAAACTTAAGTAGAATGTTTTGGTTTCAAATATATGTCAAGCAAAAAAGGCAGCTACCGAAGTCAAATTATTGATCATAGAGATTTATGCTAATAAATTATTGTATTTCTTTAACATGAAGGTGTTTTTTTAGTGCTGAAGTAAAATTAAGAATCGAGAACTTCCACATGCCTTATCATGGAAAAAATAAAAATATCTATTGCGCATGCAAGAAGCATTAAGCATATGCTAAAGAAAGATGTTACTCTTTGAATCTAACTCTTTTGCCTTTTTGCAAAAAATTTCTTTATTGCTCGTGATCCGGATATAGGACGTCCAGTTTTCGAACTTTGAACTATATCGAAAAGAACATTGCTTGCTTTGTTTTGAAGTGTGGTCTTGTTAAAATGCAGATTAAATTTACCAAAACAAATGAACACATCCTTCAAATTAATCTACTGAAAAATACAGGTAAATTGTTAATACTATTTTTTTCCCTGTTATTTGTTATTTATAATATAAGGTATTCATTCCTCTTTTCTGCCCAACTAAAAGCATAATTTTAGTTCTAAAAGTTTAAGTTTACTTTTAGTTTGTACAAGTTTAGTTTTACAAAATTATGCAGTAATTTAAAGGGCAACAGTTTCACACCATTTCAGAGCTTTTATAAAGCCTTTAAATATTTTTGCATGAGCAGATGTTCACTGCAATTTTTTTCCAAAACAGATGCCAATAAACATATTATTATTATGCCTGGAAACATTATATTAAGCATATTTCATACAATTCAGTCATCATACAGTATAAACTCAAACCTCTTGATTACTTTCAGTTTGCAATTATCTTCTAAATTGCATCTTGGTTAACATCTTAAGACCTTGGTTGCTATAGTTAGACCTCTGATGGTAAGGTTACCATTATTTTTTAAAAGCAATAAAATAGACAAAATTTTTGAAAAAAATAGCAACTGTTTCTACTTTAAATTTAAAAATCTGTGTGTCTTACTTTATAAGCCAAAGGCCAATGAATGAGATACAAATCTAAATACTCCAAGTCTAAGGCTTTAAGAGACTTCTGGCAGCATTCTAAGACCTTTTCTCTCCTGTGGTATGTATTCCAAAGCTAAACAAAATATAAAAAGAAATAAGTAGAAGTTACGTTTAAGTACAAGTATGTTTTGAAAGAATTTGCAACTCTTTATTATGAGAAGCAATTTTTTTGAAATATACGTTTATTGATCTACGTCAAATAGATATAAATAAAAAGTTATATCAGATAAAATATAAAATTTAAGCACACCTCTTATACTGTGAATAAAAAGTATTTTTACATTTGTAACACCTCAAGGAGTCCACTGATGAAAAAGCTCTCTTGCCCACTGCAGTAAAGCATTACATGATACCAACAGAAAAGCTCTCAAATATTATATTTGAAAACAAATCACTAAGTATTATTACAGCTCGAACACCTCATCTGTGACCATAAGCACAAAGACACATGTACTATTCGGACCAATTATTCTCAAAATAGAGTGGAAGGATGGGGACTTTCTTACCCCAAAGCAACATAAATTCTTTCTTTCCAGAGAAGAGATGTGACTTTTTACGTCGCAGCAAGTAATAATGTCCCTTTTGGACCAGTCTATGTGCTTTGGCAAAATGGCAGTCAAGGTTGTGTTTAAGGCGGTCGAACTACACAAATTATAAAGAAAGACATAAAATGCTACAGGAACAGGTAGAAGTGGGCAGAACACCAGAATGTCACTGTCGGTAGTACAGGTACAGTTCCACCTCTATTTGAAGGACAGCCCGGTGGGGGATGGACTGAGGGTCTCTTATCCCCATTTTCCCAACCACTTAACTCTCGAGAGGATTTTCGGCTCACCATGTATTTCGGGTGCCCCTATGCCGTGCAGACACTACACACTTACAAACATCCATGTCTTCTTCAGACCCAATGATATGGCAGTCAGCGTCACAACCACTATACCGGCTAGGCGACGCACCAACTGTTATAATCAGTTAAAAAGAAAGGCCATTAAATATTACAATCATCTGAAAAGAAAAATTTACCATATATCATTTTATAAATTCTACATATGGCTGAAAATTGATAAGGATTTTGCTTGCATAAATATTTCAATCCATGCATTAACAACTTTTAAATGTAATACATATTACAATGACAGCACTTTCTAATTATGACGGCCTTCGAGATACACAAAGAATATAATTAATTGCCAAATCTTATAACCAGATCAATTAACACTGATTCTTTCACGCTCAAATTAAAATTTCCTTGCTCTTTCTATAAAACAATGTGTATTAACTACGGGTTCAAAATTTAATCTCCTATCAGGTTGTGAAAAAATATATGGATAGTATTTAACTTTTTTAATATGTGAGAAAAATGCAATAGCATTTTCTCAGAAAAAAGGAATTTTAGTTTGTCAAAGAACATGGAAAAATAACACAAAACGCAACTGGCTGATGATAAAAGCACTTGGAGAAGCAAAATGAGTAATTGCAAAAAACAAATATTTTTACTCAGAACTAGTTTGTTTCAGATTCACATCCGTAAGAGAGTTGGGTAAAAGAATTCACTTCTATAAAATGGTATGACAAGCAGCTAGATACTAGTATAACTTGGAATGATTATATGATGAAGATGTGCACAGATTATTTAATGGAACAGTCTAGAGGTCAAAATATAAACAAGGTAAAATTATACATTTCATAATTTACTTGCAGAAATCTAATACTTTTCAGACAAAGGGCTCTAGTTTTCTAATTTTAATTGGCAAAAAGATGAAGAAATTTTCCTCCCGTGACCATATGTAGAGACTGACATTCATTCAGCACTGACCACTGGCAATTCAAACTCTCCATTTCCTCTTTTCCCCAACCCCAGCTATTTGAAGACTCTGTACTTATTTTCTACTTTTTTTTTTTTTTTTTTTTTTTATTCTGCCTCACATCAATTCTCATTCTGAGAACCCCCAAAGATCAGAAAACTAAAGATTTGGCAAGGCTAAGATCTTAACTTCCAAAATATGACTTACTAAACTTTAAACAGTTTCATTTATTTTAAATACCTAAATATCATTAATTTAAAATCATACACAGCAATTAAATTTCTTAATATTAAACTTTGCACAACACAAACCTGAAAGCATATGCAAGCAATGGATAAAATGGAACATATAATTTTCTTTTGCAAATGTATCCTTACAGTTGCTACAAATGCACATATAACATAATATTCATAACTTGTTTAATACTTCAACTGTATTGCTAAAAGAATAAATACACATTTAATTTTTTTAACTTAATACAAGATTTTCTCAACATGCTTTTAAAATTTAAATTTATTTGTTTTTAATTTAATAAACTTACACATGTTCGAACATAAAGGCTATATGGTTAAATATGTACAGAACAAGAGGCAGCAGCGGATATTAAAAACACTGTCAACAGACAAACAAAGGGTATCACATTCTGGCAGTTTATTTTCAGGGCTTCTAATGGAAAAGTACTTATAAAAGTATTTAGAGATAATTTTTTTATTGGCATGATCAAATTTCAGTGCATTAGATGTAAATAAGTATGATAAGAAAACCTGGAATCTAAAGTATTGGAAAGACAGATAATCAGATTAATCAGTATGAAATTTATCAGTTTATTGAAAGGCTACTTAATATTTAATATTTACTAACTTACCTTGCTAGTAACAAATATATCTTCTCTCTTGATGGTTTTGTCTGCAATTTTTTCCTTTATAGCTTGCCCAACTTCATTCTCATTTTGGTATGCTAAAGCACAATCTACATGCCTATATCCAATATCAATAGCAATTTTTACAGCTTCAAGCACTTGTCCTGGCTTTGACTGCAACAAAATTCAAGTATTACATAAATACATACAATAATAGTTAAACAGATGTTAAATTTTTATGATTTATACTATCTTTGTATTCTAAGTTCAAAAACAAATTATGTTATTACCTTCCAGGTTCCTAAGCCAATTATTGGCACTTCTTTTCCATTGCTCAGTTTAACATTTGGAACTTTTGCCATCCTAGAAATAAAAGTATAAAAAGTAAACAAACAAATAAAACTTTTTTCAGCTTTAACTAGAGAGATGACAGATAAGCTTAGAGTCACATGCATTTATTAAGAAGTCTCTGACATTTTTTACTAACAGCAAAACTTTTTGCTTTAATACAAATGCTTAAACTAAACTTTTTGTTATAATACATTCTGCATATTTTTGTAAACAAGATTAAACATTTAGATTCAATTGCTAAACTAAGCCTATAACTGGTTAACCTTTAACTGCTGTGAGCGGTCTGAGAGACTGCTGAGGATTTTCTAACCATCGTTTCCACCCCTAAAAATGGAGAATGGTCCCTGTCCATTCTGCTACCTTTCCAAACCCGTGCCACAAGGTCACATATCCAGTTTCACACTTCGAGCTTTATTATGGTTTCAGTTACCATATTTTTTACTTTTTAAGTTGTCTGGGAGACCACTCGCAGCAGATGCGTACCAGGTTTAGTGGACAATAGACATTTATTGGATGCTTGTTTTTCGTAAAAGTGATAAATATGGCTTCAAATTTTACAAGAAAACGTCCTGTATATCTCACTCAAAAAGAAATTGAATATTTTGTTAAAAATATTTTTGATGCAGAATACTCTGATTCTGAAGAATCACGTAGTATTCACAGCGAAAGCAAAAGTGAATCTGAGCTTTCTCCAGATGAATATCATAATTTTCCTAACGACTGTGAACAAAATGATAGTTTTTATGGAAAAGAGCGCTTCTAATAGTGAAAAAAAGAACCAAATCAGGAGGTACAAACACCGAAGCATAAAATAATAATTCAGCTCCTTGGTCTGAAACATCCTGCAAAAATAGACTCTACAGCAGAGCCCGAAGATACTTTGAATTTATGCCTATACATATTGTTCCAGTCATATCCTGATGTTACCCCCTAAAAAAAAAGAAGAGCTTTTATTAGCTAATTGACTTATTAAACCGCATCTGAAAGCTGAGATAAACTTACGCTCGCTTTTTACCAAGGGAACTGAAGATAACAATTAGAAGAATCCTTTGACAGAAGGAAATTAAAAGAATGGATTTATTAAATCTAGAAGAAAGAAAAACACGTAGTCTTGTAAGAAGAGAAAAACAGCATACAAATGCTTGAATGCAAGGAACCAGTATATCTTCAGTGCTCTAAAAAAATGTGTTTTCAGACTTTCATCCTTGTAAACACAGATACACTGATCTACGAGGGTTTTTTTTTTTCCCAACCACCGATGGCACAGTATGATGGCAAGGTATGCAGCAGGTGGTTGGTGTGCCTATTAGGCAACTGCGCATTTAACCCTACATACACTCTGTCACTGGCGAGTTCAACCCGCCATTTCCTGTTGAGCTGCAGTCACGTAAACATGGCTGCGCTATTGATTCTCCTGCCAAGTGCGAATTGTTATTCTTTTCTTGCAATAGTGCAGTGGAAATTCATCGAAGAATGAGTGTATGGAGACAGCTTTACGAGTTATGGCATTGTTCATGAATGGCGTCGAAAGTTTAAAGATGGCTGAACTGATGTGCACGATGAAGAGGGTCAAGGGCGCAAGTCTGTCCGTACAGATGACATTGTTCAACGAGTTGACCAAGCACAGTTAAGGAAAATCGAAGGTTCATCATAGGTGAATTATCGATGAAATTTCCAAAAGTTTCAGGATCTTCCCTGTACTCTATCATTATGAACAGCTGCGCTACAGAAAAGTTTGCAGTCTCACAGATGTTGACTGACGACCACAAAACTTGCCGAATGGCTGCAGAGTTGGAGAGACATGCTGACTTCTGGAATTGTTCTGATCCATGACAATGCCCGTCCTCACAGCACTCAGCAATTTCAGTGAGACATTTTTGGACACCTACCATATAATCCCGACCTAGCGCAGAGAGACTTTCATCTTTTCTTTGAACTGAAGCATTGGCTTGGGGGACAGCGCTTCCAAAATAATGTGGAGCTCAAAGAAACCATTACAACTCGTTTCCAATCATTGGCAGGAACATTTTATGAAGAGGGTATTGCAAAGTTTATTCATAGATACGACAAATACCTCAATCATCAAGGTGATTATATAGAGAAATAATCTGTATTGTACATTTCTTTTTGAAATAAAATCTTTTTTGTATATTCAACCATCTTTTCTTTATAGCCTATCGGAGGTTGAAAAAAATAGCCTACATATTATTTATTAATAATTAAATTCATTGGTGTAGAATTGTGTTTTAATTGACAGTAATACTTGATTAAGTCACATATTTTCATGCATGTTTAATACAATCTTTGTTATTTAAAAGCTTTGTTCCTTAAAATAAAGAAAATGGTAGTTTTTTATGTGAATTTAACTGCACAAAATTAAGTGAAATAGAATTTCATACATATGCATAAAGTATCTGTAACATTCCTTGAAAAGCATAAAAATATGCATTTTTATGCATTTCTCTAAGGTAGTCTGTGAGTCTGAACTGATTAATGATTAATTACTGTGAGACCGCTTACAGTAATTATGCCAAAAAAATTGCTGTAGTAGTTAAGGTTAAATTCTATTATTTACAGAGCTACATAACAAATCCAAACAAAAAAATACTTCATTAGGACTGTACTTGAAAAAAAATTGTACATTTAAAAAAAAAAAAAATAAGTAAAATAAAAATTTAAAAAATTTTTTTTGCCAGATTTACTATATTGACTTGAATTTAAGACTTCTTTCAAGAATTCTTGACCTTTCATCATCATTCTACAAAACAGTTCAACATAATGCAAAAGAGAATGCTAATATAAGACTATTTAAAACTACGTTCTAAGAAAGAGATTGAACTCTTCAGATATCAACATAACACCATAACTGTGAATGTGGTTATGATTACTGTTCAATTTATTATAGCTAGAGTAATAGTTTTATAATTCAGTACACTTGAGGATTTTCAATGATTTTACTCTTCACTTTGTTAAAGAATCCCAGACTATTTATCAGTCATTCTGTACTTTAAATACAGCTCTATATAAGGCATGATTAAAGAATGCTAAGATAAAATTATTTAAAATTACACAATAAGGGGGAAAATTTTTTTTAAAGCTCATCACTACATTAATGTAGGTGTGGTTTATGATTTCTATTAAATAAATAATGGCTCAAATAATAATTTTATATGCTGCAAATTTGAGAATTTTCAATGATTTCACAAATTTCGGATTTTTCTAAAAACATTCAGTACATCAGCAGATTTTGGCCTAATCTTTTAACTTTTTCAAATTGTTAGAATATTTTTCATATTTATATAGCTTTTGATACTATCTTCTACTAAAACTTTTGCAAAAAATACTGTAAAGTAAACTTATTTAAATATCCAAATCTGAACTTTAAACTAACGAGAATGAACTACAAGTTATTTAATTCATTTTTGCTAGATGTCTTTTATGTTGGAAAAAGACATTTTCTAAAGATGCATAAAACAATAGCCTTCTAATTGCCTTTCAATACCTGTAAACAATTTCAATGTAAAATATTCCCTTTTCTAAATTTAGAAACAAGCCACTTTATGAAGAATATCTATGTAAATTTAATGTATGCAGATTTATTATTAAACATATACATGCATCCAGATGTTATCCAATTGTAATCGAAATTTTGATCTGAAATTATGGTAATTGATATTACTGGATTTGGCAGATTGAAAATTAAATAATAATTAGTTACATAGTAGTTATTTCATTACTGTTACACAGTAAGAAATTCTTCCCCAGGGAAATAATAAAGCAAATTCTTTGTAGGCTGCAATTTTCATGAAATTATTTACATAAATCCACAAAATTTCATGACTTATTCTGAAACTGCACTATGAATTCTGGCATTTCTTTTCCTATGACGAAAATGCAGTCCTAAGTATATTTAAGTAAGTAAGTTTACTTGTCAGTAAAAGCACATGAGGCATATATATCTGTTTAAGGAAAGGAATGTCTTTCTGGAGGAATTTCCAAGAAAATTGCCTTGTATTCAAATTAGAAAGAGTTTGAAAATGTTTTGCAGTTAGCTCATTTCCAGGATTTAAAACTGGGTCAACATATGTTCCAGTCTCACACATCTGGTCACCGTGAGCCCTCATATTATACACTGATTGGGGATGCATAGCTACAAACAATAATGGAAAACTGCTCTATGAATGTGTCTGCAGTAAATCAAAGGCAATTGATGCTCCAGACCAACTTACACATGTATGCACCACCCAACCAATACAGTGGTTAGCATCGCTGACTGCCATGCCGAAGGTTCGAATTCCGGAGAAGGCATGGATGTTTGTATAGTATCCGTGTGGTATGGAAGCACTCTAAATATGTGGTGAGGCTAAAGTCCTCTCAACAGGTTGGTGGGAGGGAAGGAAGGGGTGGGAAATCCTCAGACTTGTCCCTCCAGGGTGCTCTTTATCAAAATTGGGCATGGAACTGAACTAAATCACACTGTCACCTGTAAGGTGCTAAAAGCTGTTGCCAAGAACAGGCATATACTTGCACTCCTTGTCACAAGGAATTTTCGCAGGCTTGGGCTGACTATAGGTAAGAGCATTAGCAACAACAACAATATATATATATATATATATATATATATATAATTTATCAAGCAAAGTAGTAATTATAATTTTAAAAAACCAATTTCAAATAAATGAAATTTCCCTTGAAAAGCCTGTTTGTAAGTCGAATTGGGCTAATTTACCATTTTCCGCTTACCTTTTATCTTTTTCTGTTTTTTTAATGTTTTACATGTCTTATGGTTTGATTTTCATATGTATTAATTTTTTTAAAACGTGTTGAACCTTTTGGGGCAGCAGCTCTTGGTAACTTTCAGGCGAGCTTACTACAATTTATATATATATATATATATATATATAGAGATAGAGAGAGAGAGAGAGAGACACAGACGATAAACAATTTAGTGATAATATGGGCTTTTTCTCACTCACTTAAGCATTTCTAAGATCCTGGAAGTGGAAAAAGGA